GAGACAGAGCGAGAGACAGAGACAAAGACGAACGGAGAGAGAGAGAGAGACAGAGCGAGAGACAGAGATACAGAGAGCGAGAAAAAACGAAAGAGAGAGAGAGCGAGAGATAAATCGAGAGAGGGGAAGCGAAAATACTTGGTACAGCGAGCAGACTTGTAGGTCTTGCCCAGAGTTGTACAATGCCTTTCTATCCCTGGATTTGATAGGCTCCTGCAATATGATGATGAAGACCGCGGTAAGAGCGGACTGATTAAGCTGCACTTTACACGGGTAGGCTGATAGGCCGCCTCATACTCTGATAAGACCATTGACACTTGGCGCTCTACAAGTTTGTATTGATACCATCTATAGTCATGGCTACAAAAATGCTGTCCGAGCCGGATATACAAGTGTGCCACAGGGAACGGTGCAGAAGAAAATTATCGAAACCCCGACATGCACTTCTTGCCGGCAACGGGTATGATCGTCGTCCCCAGTCTGAGCCACCGGCGGAAAACGTCCTCCGTGGGCGCCCGCAGCATGCCTCGAAGAGTTGGGTTGAGTTTACAGCGGGGCACAACGAGGATATTGTCTGAGGGTTTGGGGTGTAGGGTGTACCTTAAACTACCAGGACCGACTTTTTCGTAGGGCCCCCCCATAAAATCTGTATTGGGGTTTATGACAATGCCTGCTGAAAGTAAGTAATGGTAGTTTAAACCCTAAACCCTAAACCCTAAGTTTAAGTAGGTAAGGTTTTCGTTCTATCCGGCAGGCCCTGCCATCCGGCAGAACAAGACATGATGAGACGTAAACATCCAGGGAAGCCCTTTTCCCCACATCTACAACCCTGGGGTTTAGGGTTTAGGGCTTTTTAGGCTTTAAGGGTACCCTAACCCTATAAACCTTAAACTTTAAACCCTAAACCCTAAACCCTATAAACCTTAAACCTTAAACCCTGAACCCTAAACCTTAAACCCTGAACCTTAAACCCTAATCCCCCTAAACCCTAGTTTAGGGCCTGCAAGCCCCGACCATCCAAGCTCCAAGTCCTAAACCCCTCACTTCCAAACGCGTGTTTAGGCTTTAGTGCTTAGGGTTTAAAGGTTGAGGGTTGAGGACTTAGAGGTTAAGGGTTTAGGGCTTAGGGTTTAGAGTTTAGGGCCTACAGTGGTTAGAGGTTGAGGGTTTAGGGTTTCTAATCTAATCTTGGTCAAGGCGGGGTCAATGTCAAAGCTCAACGTAACCAAAACCATCTCCGGCCAAACTGTGTACTACATAGGCACATGGACCCTTGCAGTGACATCTGCATCACGGCTTTGGACTCGAACTTAAGCTTCGGGCTACTGGTAACTCAAGAGCGGTAGCTCCACACACCCGAAACCCTACACTATGCTCCAACATCCCCTTGCACCCGACACTCTCCATATACTAGACCCCAAACCCACGCCTCCCAAATCCGGAACACCTCAATTCCCTGTCCCAGATCCCCGCAAATCTTGTTCCCAGAAGCCCATTAACTCCTAAATCCTGCCCCGCCGTTCTTTGCCAACTCGAAACTCGTCAGTGGCCCCTAGCTCCTCGAAGCAGATCGAAACAGATTACTACCTAAAGGACGCGACGACAACTCAGGGGCAGACGGCGGAGGGCGGGCAGCGTGAGGGAGAAGGTGAGGTGCAACAGCGATTGGCCTTAGGGTTTCACTAGCTTTTGCTTGTGGTCTAAACCCTAAACCCTAAACCCTAAAACCTAAAGCCTGCTTTGGGTCAAAGGTTTTCGGGCATGGGGCTAGCATTTTGGGGGGTGTGAGGCTCGGAAGCTACGTAGGAAAACGTAGGGGAAGATGTACTTGGAGGTTGGAGGTTCATGAGTAGTTATAAGTGGCGGTTATAAGTAGGGTACCTACAATGGACTTATGACTCTACTTATAATAAGTACCCATGTTCATGAGTAGTTATAAGTGGGGTTATAAGTAGGGCAACTATACTTATAACCCATATAAGGGAACTTATAACCCTGCTCATAACTGCCCATGAGCCTCCCAGTGCACCGCAAACCCTGAGCTTCAGCACGTACTTCCATAAGCTCAAAGCATGAAATCCTAAGACCTAAACCCTAAACCGCCTCAACTCTAGGGAAGTTCCAGATTAACCCCAAAACCCCTAAACCCCTAAACCCTAAAAGCGGTTCGAGCTTGAGGTCTGGCAAGTTTGCTCTTCGGCGGAGCTCGCGTTGCCGGGAGAGTCACGGCAAGACTCTTCGGGTCGGGTTTCGGGACCCTAAACTTTACGGTTTAAGGGTTTAGGGTTTAGGGTTTCGGGACCCTAAACCTTTAAACCATACCTGAGCCCCGAACCTCCAACTCCCAACTTTTTTTCAGTGTAGCATTCTACCTTGGCTCTCCTTGAAAAATTGATTAAACTTTCTGCGGTAAACTCGCAGCTGTTGTGAAGGACCAGGATCCACAGTTCAGGGTTCTGGCCTTCGGTAAATAAATGACAGCTGCTTCGGCTAAATCTTGGGGGGGTCTCTTGCTTCAGGGGTTCAGGTTTGAAGGCATACATACCAAAGCCATAGTGGGTTTAAGTACAAGCAATTCCGCTGGCGCTGTATGAGCCTAGATCCCGGAAATCTGAGGGTGCGGCGATCATCCGCATCGTGGGACGGGTCGGATGCCTCAATACCCAAAGCCCAAACCCACCCCACAAGACGAAACTCAAGGCCGTAAACCCTAAACCTTAAACCCCCTAAACCCTAAACCCTAAACCCCAAACCCCGAACCGTTTAAACCCAAGGTCGCACCCGAGAGGCCTTGACCCTCCGTGAGGCGGTCTGAAGCATGGCTAACATTGGCTTATCATTGTATAACGTATGGGGCCTCAATAATTAGAATAGGGTTCCTTTAATGGGATCCTTAAAAAAGGGTTCTATAAGGGATCTATGAAAGGGCTCTGTATTAGGGGCCTTAATGATTAGAACAGGGTTTTGGGGCCCATTATACTATAGTTATAATAAGACCCCCCCCCCGCCCCAAATAGTATAGGGAATTGCTTAGGCCCCTACAGTATACTGTATACCTTCTCAAACCCCTGCGGTATCTTCTTGAAGACTGGCAGGGGGTTGAATCACTTGCAGTATCATCAACTCCTGCTTTTGAATGCAGCTTAATTCACCCCAGAATCATCCAGGTCCCTACTATGCTATGCTTGATGGTTCTAGAATATGTGGCTCGGGGCTTCCTGAGTGGGATCCTCACAGTCTCCAAGATCACAGACCAACCGCGAAACACCTCAAAGCCCCGAACCCAAAGGCGTCAACAGCGAATGTCTCGAAGCCTCGTTACAAACGCGGAACATCCCTGATCCTAAACCCTAATCCCTAAACCCCAAAACCCGAAGCGGAGGTCGTGTGGTTTACCGGTGAATACAAAGCCCCCAAAGCGCTCAGCCCAAAGTACCTAAGACCGTAGACCCTCCACCCTAATGTAGGGGCATAATAAATTAGACCAGGGTTCCTTTAAAGGGTATCATAAAAGGGATACCATAAGGGCTATACGGGTTCTATCGTATAGGAGCTTTAATAATTAGTTACAGGGTTTTGGGGTGTACTATACTATATATAGTTATACTAAGGAACCATCTAAATAACATGAGTAAGTGTTAAGGCCCCTATGTTAGACCCTAAACCCTAAAGCCTAAACTCTGCAGCAAACCCTGAAGCAACGAAACCCGAAACCATAAACCCTGAACCCAAAACCCAAAAGCCCAAACCCTAAAACCCTAAAACCCTAGAACCCTAAAGCCCTAAACCCGAAACCCAAAAAAGCGATTGGGCACAGGTACGACCTTCAGGGCCCGGTCGGCGAGGCAGCACCTTTTTCTGAGGTCTTTCGGGTTTAGGGTTTAGGGATTAGGGGTTTAGGGGGTTTAGGGGTTTAGGGTTTTAGGGTTTAGGGGTTTAGGGGGGGTTCATGGTTTAGGGGTTTAGGGTTGAGGGCTTCTTTTTGCTGCACTATAGGCCACAAGGAATACATGTAATGAGCATTTCTACTGTTGTGTGTATCATCAATAACGGTTTGCTATGAATTTCTATTTTGTACTCCTCGTTCTTCGTTTCACAACTCTGATCCTCCTTGATATTCTTATGAACTTCCCTAAGCCCTAAGCCCTTAGGTTTAGGGTTTAGGGTTCCCTAAACCCAAACCCCTACGGACGGTGTGGGGCCCAGGGGCTTCGGCGCACACATGCCGAAGGGAATGCAGGAGCCGGAATTACGCTGTACCTTCTTGGGGCTGTATCGGTATACTATAACCTGTCATCCGGACTCCTCCCTCAACCCCAAACCCTAAACACGACATGCTAAACCCTAAACCCTAAAACCCTAAAACCCTAAACCCCAAAACCCTAAACTCTTAACCCACGAGCTTGCAGTGCAAACTTGGTGACTCCTCTTGGAGGCCACCCTCGAAGGGGAGTTTCAGAAATCAAAGCAAACTACAGCAAGCTAGCATGTATAACGCTTCAGTGCATTATGTTATATCACATTCCATTAAGTATATCATGCCCTGATACATTGCAACTTGTGTTACGGCATATTCCACCGGCCGTATTACGTAACAACATTCCGTTTATATATTTTCGTATTGCCGAATGGTACGCCAAGCTACTACAGTGAAGTCGTTCTCAGTCTGGGGGTCAGGCAAGAGGTATAAACCCTAAACCCTAACCACTAAACCCTCAACCCTGAACCCAACATGGGTTCTTCGCCGCTAGTCACTAGTCTTTGGCTCAGGTGGCTTCGAGGCAGAGGGGTCTGAACTTGCAGGTTCCTGACCCTTGGTGGAGCCTTAACTGTTAGGGTTTAGGGTTTGGAATAAGCCTTCGGGCCAGATCCCATCTCGGTACAAATTCGCTAGAAGTCGTCGTAGCATGCAAAAACCAGAAAGCATCCTAATTCTTGTCTTTTCCGTGCTTTGCTTGAGCAAAGTCGCCACTCAAACCTAACAAGGACTGAACAAACCTTATGGAAACCGAGAAGCGCTTCCACACCCGCTTACACGTACTAAGAAGTGCGGCAACGAAGTTCTGCTTCCGGGGCTTCATCTTCTTGGGGATACCCTTAACTTATAAACTCAAAAGCCCTGAAACAAAAAACCCTACAAGCCTCAAATCTGCAGGGCATAAAGCTCTAAGGCTTAAGTAGAGACGCAGGAACCTGTAACGAATCATGTCACGTCTACGCCGTAGTGCATGGACAAAGGCCCAGGCAGCACCCGCTCGGATCCTCGTTGTACGCCCAAGTCCACTCCTGACACATCACGTCCAGCTGGACTTATTTGAGAATATCGGGCGTTCCTCGTAGGGTGCCTCATAATGTGAAACAGCCCACCATCTAACTATGTTCAATGATTCGATGGCTTCCGAAACTTGCATTTGGAATCGAAGCATAAGTGTTCCAGGACTTGGGGTACTGAGGGCTTCGCAAGGCTTTGGAGTATAAGTAGATCTTCAATTTGCACAAGCTACAGGCCTTGGGTATTCATGGGCCGTGCTTGCTTTCAGTTCTCCAAGAAAGAGCTTGAGCTTCCTCTTCGAAGGGTTTAAGGAGTTCAACGCGTAAAGTGTCGGGAGTTGCAGTTCAGGGCTGTGCACGTCGCCATGGCGGGGGGGGGGGGGGGGGGTTGCAGGACGGATCTGCATCCGAAAGGTTCCTTCTTTATAAACCCTACACCTTCCCGGGTCTTGCGAACCCCGGAAGCTCACAAATTTCAGGTTCCCAAGGCTTAGGATTCAAGCTGTAATAAAATGTCGTCGGCTGCGGACTCGGGATGGGAAGCTCGAGCAGTTTACTTCGCTGAATCTGAAGCTCCCGGAAAGGGGTATCGAACCACTGACTGCTAGTAGAGGGGCCTGAGAAATTACCTATACTTCTTTGTTTTTTTGGGGGGAGGGGGGGGGGGGNNCCTTATTCTAGTTATAGTATAACGGGCCCCAAAACCCTATCCTAATTATCATAGCCCCTATATTACTCTGAGGGCTCTATAGGGTTTAGGGTTTAAGGTTATTACAAGAATTGCTGTAAGGGTTGCGATAAGGGATACTGTGGTTACCATTAAAAAGGGTTGCTGCAAAGGTTTTCCAAGGGTTACATGACCAATGGTTGGTATGAAGGCTAGTGTAACCGTGTCTTACATAAGCCTGACTAATTACCAAGATTCAATAGGATTCCCGAGAGAGTTCCTTATCATAGCTAAGTTTCAGCTGTTTCTAGGCAGTTCCCATGTCTCTATAACCGTCAGGCATGGATTAGCCTACTATAGCGGCCTCAAGATTTATATTGTATGAAGATCCTAATACGCACCCCGCACAGAAAAAAAACAGAGTAGTATTGGTAGGTTATTTAGGCCAACCCTAAACCCCAAACCCTAAACCCTATATTGCACTCAACCTCGTTCGTGAATCTAGGAGGCCGGGCCTACATCCGGGGAAGCCTGGTGAAGGATCGAGAGCCGCGGCCCCTAACGTTTGCCTTGAACCACCATTAGGGTTTAGGGTTTAGGGTTTAGGTTTAGGGGTTTAGGGTTTAGGCTTTAGGGTTAACCTACTTGTTCGTAGGCTTCCTATACAAACGAAAACAGGGTTGATAATCAGAGCCGACAGAGAACTAGGGTCGGTAGTGAAAAGTAAGGCTCAGAGATGTTGATAAGGATTTTAAGCTTGGCTTTGACGGCCCATGGCCTTCACATCCCAGCACGAAGAGGCAGTGGGAGACCACAGGGGAGAGGAACCGCGATGGCACCACCTAGTCAGGCTATGCTCTCGTGGATGCAGGGTTTTTGCCGACTTAAGGCTGCCTATTCCTATTTTTTCGCAAGGTTTTGGTTGTACGGTTCATGGTTTAGGTTTTGGGTGTAGGGTTTATGGTTTGAGGCTTTAGGGGGCTTAGGTTTGGGGTTGTTTAGGGTTTAGGGTCCGGCAAACCTTCACACTGGCTCGAGCATTGGGCGCCGGGAGAAACACCATTCGCGACCGTGGCTCATATGCTGTGCCCTCCCCCCGGGTAGGGCCTGAAGAACTAAATTAGCGTTTCGGGCTAAACTATACTGCTTTTGTGTAATATAAAAAGGGGACCACGTCGTCCGATCCCTGTTGTACGACCGACATCGCTGGGCTGCAGTAGTAGAGAATCGTGGTTTGGATTGGTGGGAGGTGATGTTCGGGCATAACATACCCATGCGCCCAGAACCAATGATTCCGAGACCCCTAACCCCTAGTCTGAAAACTCGGCACCCATAATACCGTGGAGTTTGCAAGTCGTAAGACCAACTGTTAACGGACAAAGAGCCTGCACTACCCATAACAGCCTACATAATACCCAAAGAACCATAGTTTAATGCTGCAAGTACTTGAGGCAATACTTAGGGTTTAGGGTTTAGGGTTTAGGGTTTAGGGTTTAGGGTTTAGGGTTCAGGGTTTAGGGTTTAGGGTTTAGGGTTTAGACGACGGCTCATTTTCAGCTGCATGAGAAGATCTGGGACCTCCGTCTTCCGGTGTTGGACGTATGTAGGACTTTCAAGTCTTGAAGCATGGTCCTTTATAATTAGAAGGGGTATGTTCCACTGTAGCTATAATCAATAAGGATTCTATCTATCTATCTATCTATCTACCTATCTATCTATCTATCTATCTATCTATCTATCCATATATATATATATATGTATGTATGTATGTATGTATGTATGTATGTATGTATGTATGTATGTATGTATGTATGTGTATATCTATATATATATATATATAGGGATCTTGAAGGTTGGCAGGTGGGTTTTTAGCCTATCATCGGACTACAGAGTAACGGTCTAATGGCGATCCAGAGTAAAGGCCAGCCGCTGTATTTCCTAATCCAACCCCAAACCCTAAGCCTAAACCTAAATCCAAAACCCTGAACCTCGCCCGTCTTGCGCCTTACCGTCAAGCAGGTGATGGTCCGCTAGCACTTGGAGCACCTGCCAGAAGTTGAGTCTGTTGGGCTTTTTTTTGAATTTTTCATGCCACAGGGCACTTTCCCATTGCTTCGTGCATGCGATTTGGGCTCAGTGCTTTACAGCTTCAACCTTAAAAGAATGACAACCAGACCTAAAAATCGTCCTTACTCGTATAACTGGAACCTAGTCGCAGTCATACTGGCGAGTGCAAACCAGCTGCAGAAGCAGCAGTGCATACACATCGGTCTTCAGAGCTACCCTCAGCTCAAAGCTGGACAGTGGTTGGCCCCAAGCTCAAGAATGAATTAGGCTTTACAATAGGGGTTAGGGATTTACCCATGCCCCGCGAAGGGTCTGAGACACCCACCGTGGGCTAACTCCAAAGCACTTCGGCCTGGAACCGTCGCCGCCGGTACCCACACACCATCCAACCCCCAAAAGGAAAAGCATGGCTCCAACCTTTGAAGACAGAACCGTGCAACTTATGGGTATTTCACGTCAAACACAAACACGTTCTTTCTTGACTGAAAACCTGAAACCCCAACCAACCCTGAACCCTCCATGAACCCTGGACCCGAAACCATGAACATGAACCCTAACCCAAACCTCAACTCCGGAACAGACCTAAACCCTGAAACATCTGACACCCTATAAGCCACAAACCCCGAAGACCAAAGCCAAGCCCTAAACTCGGCCCTCACATCCCCAATATACCCTAAACATCCTTCCGCTTTTTTCCCGCTCTCGGGGTCGAAGCTATCCCGGCTCCTCGGGAAGCAGCTCCTCATCCTGTCAAACCATACAGGGCCAGAACGGCGCTCTCGGAAATGCAGCAGGATCCTTGATATGGTCTAAGGTATGTATGTGTATGTATATGTGTATGTGTGTATATATATATATATACATACACATATTGACTGATTGTGTGTGTGCAGCGTGTTTGTCTGTATCGGTGTGTGTGTGTGTGTGCGTGTGTGTGTGTGTGTGTGTGTGTCTGTGTGTGTGTGTGTTTATGTAAAAACGAAATTATCAGGGGTCCGTCAAACTTCGGGGTCTTGGGCTTCTGACGGGCCTCGCGACTAGGACCTAGGGGGCTACGGTGGGCTGAAACCATTTGAATCAAGGTTCTTGTTCCTGCTTGTGGCTTCTATTTAGGATCCTTTAAGGTAATCCCAAAAAGGAACTACTATGGAGCCGACGGGTAAACCTTGAAGTTTGCCCGTTGGTCGCACATCGCACATCCTCACCATGCTTCAGCATGGAACCCTCGAAGCCACCAGTTCTGAATCCTAAACCCTAAACCCTAAACCCCTTAACTGGAGTTACCGTTACCCAGCTATCGACCCAACGAGAGGCTACCAACAACATTCCCTGAAGTTCCACTCTCCCCACCTCAGGTCGAAGCCCTCAACAACTCCTGGAGTAGCAAACCCCAAACACTAAACTCTACATCTTAAGCCCCAAAACCCCTGACTACTGGAAACGTTGGACCCTTGGGGGTCAGCTCGAAGAGTAGGGTTCTATCGGATTCCAACGGCCTGGCGCTATTCCTGTCAACATCGAGTTCTTCAAGGGGGAGGGTTTATGGTTTAGGGTTTCGGGGTTTATGGTTTAGGGCTTAGTGTTTAGGGTTTTGGGTTCTTTCAAGGACTTACAGGGTTGCAAAAGGGTCTTCATCGTTCGAATAGGGTTTGGGGGAATATCAACCTATAAGTGATAATGGGCATTAATAGGGACATGGGATGACCTTACACTGTATGTTAGCTTCTATACTAAGCCCCCGGTAACCCTCACCCTTACATCTGAGTACTGGCAAACCCGAAACCCTAAACCCTTATCCTCACATCTGAGTCCTGGCAAACAGAGCGGAAATGCTTGTCGATGGCTTCGAACGCGGCCACTGCCGCCTGGAACCTGAGTGTCCGAAAACACGCTTCGGTGACTTCCTGTCAACATCTCAGGTCCCTTTTTTCGGGTTCTTACAGGAATCTATCAGGTTGTCGATAGGGTTTCTATAAGGGTACTAAACACCTCGTGACTGAACTGGCGATGGAGCACATCAAGGTCTCATCCTGACACGTGGCAGCGCAACAGCCCAGTCCGACATGCCGCCCGTACCCTGATATTCGTTTCCAACGGTCTTGCAAGCCCTCCTGGATCCTAAGAGTGTTCCGGTTTTTGACTCTCCCCTCCCCTCGTTCCCACATCCCCGTGTGGATTGGATTTTGAACCGTTCACGGTGCTGATTGGATGCGCTCTGCATCTATACCTCTATCATATAAACATATAAATAAACAAATAAATGAATACATAGATAAATATGTATATATATATATATATATATAGCCATAGCCTACCTGCCTGGCTGCCTACCTACCTACCTACCTACCTACCTACCTACCTACCTACCTACCTACCTACCTACCTACCTACCTACCACCGACCACCCCCGACCGACGGACCGACCGACCTACCGACCTACCGACCAACCTAAATT